CCAAAAGTAACATAAGAAAGCCAGATTACAGTTTGCACACAGGGACAAAGATCTTAATTTATGGACATATGTCCAGTGGTCTGATGAAACTAAAATTGAACTGTTTGGCCATAATGACCATCGTTACATTTGGAGGAAAAAGGGGGAAGCTTGCAAGCCTGAGAACACCATCCCAACTGTGAAGTACGGGGGTGGCAGCATCATGTTGTGAGGGTGTTTTGCTGCAGGAGGGACTGGTGCACTTCACAACATAGATGGCATCATGAGGAAAGAACATTATGGGAAAATATTGAAGCAACATCTCAAGACATCATCCAGGAAGTTAAAGCTTGGACGCAAATGGGTCTTCCAAATGGACAATGGTTGACGTTGGTTGACTAATTGTTTATGCCAAAGTCCCCAGATGTGAACTGTGATTTTTTGTTTATTTATTTATTCACCGCAAATTTTGAACATGAACATTCAGCACCTTCCATTTTTATGCTTTAAATTTTAAAATTCAGCCACTTAAAGTTCAGATGCAAAAAAAATAAAATAAAACTTTTAACACATTTAACAGCTTTTAAAATTCGAAATCTGTCTCTGTAGATGTGTTGCAGATTTTATACAGTCTGATGTGTTGTTTTAAATGAAAATAGAAAAAAGTGCATCAAATGCCAAAGAGACAAGCAACAACAACATGGTGTTTTAAAAATGGTACGAGGAAGTCGGTGGCACGCGATTCCTTATCCTCATACATTCACTTTTCAATCTTTTCTCAAATCTTTTTAACCTTAACCCTTTAAAGACACAAAGCAAATGCAGTTTTTATTAACATGAGAAATCACACATACTGGATTTGACAGTTTCGGCACAGCTGATTATGTCCTCACAGCTTGCTGGGAGCTCCCTGTTTAAAATTTGAACAAAAAACAACAACTTAAGAACCATCTGTTAAAAAAAACAAAACAAAAACCATATTGGAATCCTGCTATGTGAAAATAAACATATCAGCTCATCACTATTACGTGCTCTCTCATGTTAGCAGATTCACAAATCTGATTAATGAAAAGTGTGCATTGTTCGTCACACTGGAGACAGTTTGTAACGGTTGCATTTGTCTCCAGTCAGATGAGGGTCGCAGGTCAGAGTGTACTGGACCTCGAAGCCTCCTCTGCGGGCTGGGCAGGTGAATCTGTGTGTCCCCTGGATCACAGGCCTCTCACAATTTCCCAGAAGGTCATCATGCCGCAAGTCCTCGTCCCAAACCTCGACGTACAAACTTATGTGAGTGTCCACCTACATGAGGAAAAAAGAATTCAAATAAGATTTTTAATTTACTGTTATCCATCAAATGTTGAGTGGATGTTTGTGGATCATTCAGAGGAACAAGGTCTGAATCAGAAATGATTTGTACAGATAGATATGCTCTTCTAAACACTTTTGAATCCATCAATATCTCATTGAAAAGAATAAAATTCATAAGTGGTCCAGACAATTCAGAAACTGTTCAGGAAGATCTGGTTTATTTGTGTGTTTCTCTTTAGAAATAACACCTTGTCTAACTCTTTTTATCTTCAATGTTGCCAGATTTATGCTTTCTGTTTCTGTAACTGGGCCACTTTCTCCTAAACTGGCTGTTCTGGTTGGTTTCACCTGTAATTAGCTGGGTGAGATGGTTAGGTGCGGTTAGGTGTTATGAAAACAGCGAACAAAAGTTTTTTGTTGGAGTTTGGCTGCTTCTCAACTTGATCAAGGATTGTAGCAGCAGATGCAAGTTCCTTGTGCTTCACTGCAGCATTTTGTGCCAGCACACATATGTTTTGCTTTTGTTTTCTTCAGTATCTAAGTAACTCTGAGATGGCCCAGTTGTCAACGCATCCAGCAGGAAACAGTCAACTTGACAAATGTAGGTCAAAGAAGGTGTGGGCATAAATCACACAATCATGTTTTCTTGCAAAGTTTACAACTGTGACAGTAAATGAATAGTTATTATATACAATGTTATCAGATATATAAATGTCATATAAACTAAAAATGTACCTAGTTTTAATGATGAATGGGCGTGTGTGTGAATGGCTATCCTGACTTTCTCTGTCTATTTGACTTTCAGTGCTATCAAGATGATTTTTAATCAACTGGTACCTGATCTCACCTTTCAGTTATTGCTACCTGCCAAGCTTTTAATTCTTGCATGATACACACAGCAGATTATACAATCTCACTAAAAAATATATACATTTTTAAATGGGTGTTTATCACCTGGTATACTGTCACTTTAAGACATTTTGATTTTTGACATTCGATCGTCCTCTTGCTGAAATGTTGCTTTTCATTGAGACATTGCCTTTAAAGGGGAGTTAAAGTCTTTGGAGCCAAAAAGTGTGGCGACCTTTTCTCTGACCAGCTATAGTAAGTACAGCATAGAAAGTACATAACCTTAGCTGACTGTGAAGCAGAATTATAGAACTGACATTTTTCTCTTGACATATTCTTTTAAGTTTATCTGTGAGGTGAGAGTTTACTGGCCTTGCCCAGATTATAATTAGCGTTCCACCAGGGGTAGTTTGACCGGATCATGTGAGTCCTGCGATAGATGGAACCGAACCACATCTTAGCATAGCTGAGAGAAGAAGGAACCAAAGAAAAGGAACACATGAAATAATTTTGCTGTTTGATGCATCACCTTCAGATCTCAGTGCCTGACTACACACTACTCACCCTTCAGTCCGGCCAGCTGGATCTCCTTCCAGATCCCAGGCGCGGATGATGGTCACCCTCAGTGACCCCCTCCAGGCCTGTAAAGGACAGCAGTTGGCAGCCAGGTTAGGAATGTTCCACCCACAGTTTGGTTCTGTGCGGGACTTCCTCACAGCGTTGTCCTCTAAGTACTGCTCCGTGGCAGCTTTCATTCCTGCCCGCTGTGTCTCATGGGGCAGCAGCTCATACATTGGCCGAAGGGAGTATGAAACAATATCCGGGTGATCCTTCAGGGTGTCTAGCCAAGTCATGAAGCCGAGGGAGTCATTACGGGTGAGTGAAAACTCCCCCAACCAACCAGAGCCTCCTGACACCTCTGTGTAGTGTTGGTGGAGACCAGAGCTGTACCCGGTGGAGACATCCCTGTTCTGTGTGACCTTTTTGCAAGACTCTCGCATAGCGGATAGTTTCAACTTTCCCAGGCCGACAGAGACACCCAGCGACAAACAGGAGTGAACCTGAAGGACAGAAGAGGAAAAAAGATGTCACTTCACTGGCTGTACATGACACCCACACCCATCAGCCACATCTCTGAGACCACTGACAGATCAAGTGAATGATGCTGATCATCTTGTTACAATGGCACCTGTCAAGGGCTGCAAACTACTGGGCAAGAAGTGGACGGTCAGTTCTTAATGCTGATGTGTTTGAAGCAGGACGATCTGAACAAAACGCCTAAATGTGATGGTTAGATGACAGGGTCAGAGCCTGTGTGGGTCAGTGGTCCAAAGAAGGACAACCAGTGAACCAGCAGGGTTTTGGTTGTCCAAGGCTCGCCAATGAGCCTGAAGAGTAAAGGATGGTCCGTGTTGTTTAGTGCCAGAAGATCTTCTGTAGCACAAATCGCAGAAAACCTTCATGGTGCTGTGATAGACTGATGTCAGGACATACAGTCCTGTGGTCAGATTAATCACAGTTTCTTTTCAGGTTTGTATGCATTGTTTTAGGAAGAGATGGCAAGCAGGATGTGTGATATTCTGACCCATGTTCTGCAGGGAAACCTTGCTTCCTGGTTTTCACATGGATGGTATTTTACTTTGTACCAACTACCTAAACATTGTTGCAGACCCAACCCAATCTCAACAACTTTATGTTCCTATTCAACTAAATTGCATTCGCAAATACGTTTTGAACAGAACATAATCTTATTTTGAAATAAACATGACCTGGAACATGGTAGGAAAAGTGGCCGGTTTAAAAGAGCAACAAAGTCAGGGTTAGGCACAAAGTATGTGACTCAGTTTAGGTAAATAACACACTTTGTTAGAGACTTTTCTGTGTTAGAAGCTTGGTTAAGGTTACGCACCAAAATTACTTGGTTAGGATTAGGAAAAATGTCATGATTGAACATTTGAAGCATATCTTTTTTTTTTTAGGTGACCAGAGTGACAAGTCCCGTCCTAACTATTGTATGATTAACTGGCTGAGAAGCAAAACAGCAAAGATGCACTGATTAAAAACACATTCATGATATTTTGAACAAATAAACATTTCTCTCAAAATGTAGTTAAGAATGCAGGTTAATAGTACAGGAACATAGATTTGTGGAGACGATTAAATTTAAAGTTCCCGTTTTGCATGGACTCTTTTTAGAGTGACACAACGTGCTTGGCACGCGCAGCCTGCTGTAAGGGACTGAGGCTGTCTAAGTCAAATGATTTATTTCATCAGACGATTATTATAATTATCCAATTACCCGATTAATTAATGGGATATGTGATAGCCGCAGCCCTAGTTGTGATTCCACAGTGTGTGTTAAGACGCCACAGTTCGTGTTGTGATGAGGGCTGCATCGATTCCTCGAGTACCTTGATTACAGAAAATGATCGAGTAATTTCCTTTGCCTCGAAGCCTCGTTTAATCAGTTGTGTGCTGTCAGGGCCAGCAAGGCCTTCTCTGCAGGCCGAAAGTCTATCAGAATCACAAACTTAAACTGTAATATTTAGGGTCCAAGCACCCAGTGAGGGTGTGAAGACCCTATTGGAATTGCTAGGGTTATTTTCTTATTATTATTATTCTGTACAAAGAAACGCGTTTTTGAGGTACTAAATGTACTCACACACGCACCAAACTTGCCACACACACCAGAAAATTTTATAATTAGGGGGAAATACACACCTCAATAGAAAAATAGCTCAACAGCGCCACCTAAAAAACTACAAAAAATGGGCCCCGAACACACTTTCACGTACAGCCACGAAATTCGGCACACACATGTAACAACTCGATACACACAAAAAAGCCTCAAGAACACATACCTGAAACTCAACAGGAAGTCGGCCATTTTGAAAAAAATGGCAGCTTTCCACCGAAAATCAGCCATTTTTGGCCATTTTCAAAATGTATCTCCTCCTAGGGGGTAAGTCGTACACACCTGAAATTTGGCCAGCACATGACGTGGTGATTAAAAGTTATCAAAATTCTCCGCAAAAGTCTGACAGCGTGGAAATGGCGGCCCATGCAATTTCGATCAATGGCCATTTTGGTCATTATTGTTTCCCATGATTCTTTTTACATTATTCCCAAAAGTCTATTCTCTTCATTTCATAGTGTGTCTCTGGGCTGTGGTGCCTCAAGCAGTGTATATTTGTATGAGAGCTTTTATCCAATCATGTTTCAGCCATCATGTGTTGCCAGATTAAAAGAAATCTGCCCTGAGGCCTTCAGAATCAAAAGTGCAGGCGCCTGTAGCTTAAAATGTATTGTCATGAAACTGTTGCTTTAACCAATCAAATTTTGAGTTGGTGGTCCCAGGGCCAGCTAGCTGGCCTACGATAACGTCAGCACTTTCATGTCCTCTGATTGGATGGTCAGAGAGCTCAGCTGTGCAGGTCAAATACAACATTTCATGGTAATGGTATTCCCTGATAGCAGTAAATCAAACTATGGAGTATATTTTGGAGTAAAAGAGGACTGTGACAGGAATAGATCCATAATAAGGTGAAATGATCAAGTGGCATGTACTTATAGGTTCTAAGCCTACATATAGTATCATTACACTTACATAAAAATTCTGTTTTTGCAGTGATCATCAGCATTCATAGTTACCTTTATTTATTTATGTAACTAACTGTCATGTAATTTTTAAGTTTAATGACAGAACTAGAAAACTAAATTTGACCAAAGAACTGAAAATGAAAACAAAACATCATTAGAATATCAGTCAGAAATATCTTCTGTCTGTCATTGCAGTGTGGCAACATGTGTGTTTGTATAAAAACGGAGTGTGTGAGTCTGTGACTGTGTGCTTCATGCACCTCATTTGTGGAGAGTCCGTTCAGTGACGACAAACAGGTTCGCGAAGCTGTCACTCGCCTGACTCGCCCCCCGAGGTAGACCTGACAGGAAGCACAAGGATGCTGACACCAAAACAAAGCGTGTTTTCATTTAACATGGTGTGTGTGTGTGTGTGTGTGTGTGTGTGTGTGTGTGTTAACCTGGCGGATGTAGTGAGTGCCGTATGTATGTATGAGCTGACTGTACTGAGCCCTGGTGGAGGAGCTGTAGACATTTGGCAGTCTGGTCAAATCCTTCCTGAACTCAGAGCTGAGGGGCGGTGTGGTAGAAACACGGTAACTAGACATAAAAAGACAGATCAGTGAGGTATCGTGAATGATCTAACCCTGTGTAATGATGTAGGGGTGCTTGCAGCCTACCCATAGTGGCTGCAGGTGACGCTGTGTGTGCTGAAGGCATAGCGGTCCTCTCTGGTCCTCTGTGAGGCAAAGTTATACGCTAGGGAGTGAGTTCCTCCCACGTCCAAGTTGACAAACTTATCGTAATTTAGCCCAACCTGATCCAAAAATAAAATAAAATAAAATAAAGCTGTTAAAGAACATCTTCATTATATAGAGCATTAACTAAAATAAGTATTCCCAAAGAAAAATCTTTTGCAAACACTTTTTATTGATATTTATTAGCATTAAGGAATGAAATTAAAGATAACAAACCTATGTGTCATGAACATTAATGACACATGGAATTTATACATGTATCCTACGCTGCAAAAAAATCCACATTTTAAACCACTTTTGATTGCAGTTTATTTATTATTATATTGTGCTTGTTTTCCTGTTTTGTTAAATTACAGATAATGTCTCATACAATCCCAGAAAAAGACATTAAATATCATGTATACATTTTTCTTATGGTAACATGTTCTTTTACAAGGTTTGACAAAAAATATCTTCTTCTTACAGATATTTGTGTTTATTTGAAATAAAAATGATGTGTATTAAGGATGGATTTTTGTTTGTTTGTTTGTTTTACCTCTTATTTCACAGATTTTCCCTTTTTTGTTATGTTACAGATAAAATCACAGAAAAAAAGCATTAACTTAAATAGAGATTTATTTACTAATTTAAATAAAGTGTATTTATTTAGTTATTTCAGTTTTTGAGTGCTACTATATTCCATAACTTCTTGGCATTTATTTTGGCATTCTTGCTGGCAAGTCTTCCATGTTTTTTACTTTTTCTTTTTTCCCTTCAGTTTATTAAGACAACAAGGTGCTTCATCTCAGCCCGTTGGATCACAACTCGTTATTTAGCTTTAGCTTAGTTTTCACTTCAGAGGTAAAAGAAGCACAATCACCTCACCTTAACTGTTCATCAGTTATCATAATAATACTCTGTAATGTTAATTTCATGTCAGCAGTAACTGTGTCATGTTTCTTACCTTCCAGTCAGTAGTTTCCTGTGATGTGTAGGTGTCAATCAGTGAGCTGTGGACAGAGTTTAAATGGAGGAATCACTATTAAATTTCACAGTTTGATTTCTAATATCATTTTACGGTCTGGGAAAAAAATTTATTAACAATTTGAACACAAAATGTGAATCGGTTTATTTAAATGTTCTGCTGTTAATATGATAAAGATTGATTAGTGGACTCCAATTCTACGAGTTATTCATGAGACAGAAAGATAAAAGTCATGCTAATCTTTAAACAACGATTAGGAGGCTGAATTTGTGGAGCGAGGAGATATTAAGTGGAGCGATTATATGAAAGTGACATGTTCTAGCAGAGCAAACACAGCATTTAAACCTCACTGAGTGACAAAACCAATGTGCAAATCTGTGTCTTTGGAGATATTACATGCAAGTGTGATGCAACTCTTTCAGTAATTTGTGTCCAACATCATACCTAACAGAAGTGTGTGCACTGCTGTGGATGTTGGCACTACATCGGCTGAAGGCACGCCAGTCCACTGCAGAGACAGGCAGCTGAAAACATAAGAAACCCCCATTAACAAACACACCTAAGGTACGTACAAGTGTATGTATATCACCGCTTATTTAATTATCATTATTATTACTTTCTGCAGCCTGTTTTCTTGGAGTGGGTTGGAGCAGAGAGTGCAGGTACCAGCTGGGGTCAGGTAGGTCCTCACATCAACCACGTAGGCTCCTTTCCGCTGCAGGGTGACCACATCAAAGCCCTCCCCCACCAGGTTGTGACCCGGTACAAAGGGAGCCGAGTCACACTGGCTGGAGTTCCCGATCCGACAGGACAGGACAGGAGAGCGGTGAGACAGGAAGAGCAGGAGGCTCAGGTAGAGAGGAGTAGAAGAGGAGAGCATGGCTGGAGTCAAACAGACTGAAATAGAATTGAAAAGGACAAAATAGATGATTATCAGAGAAGGTGACACGTTTTTTAAACAGGTGTAGATTAGATACACATAAACATAAAATGTGCATCAGTCGTTTTTTGATTATTTTTTTTAAGACTGTGACCAGGAAATGTCTCAGCAGGACATTTTACTTAGGGAAAAATTTTTTTAAAGTTTGTCTGTGCGCTCTAGTTGAATGTGAGGAGTGGGTTGGAAGATGTGAATCACCTCAGAGTAATTGGACTCAGAGTGTATGACCTAGGAATTTGATTTCCAATTTAGTATGCCACCATTAAAATGTAGCTGGAGCCTGGATTATCTGTATAAACAGCAGAAACAACCAAAGAAAGGACAAACTGTTTCGCCACAGTGAGCACCACAAAAACGTTCTTTTAAAGATGTTTCATAAAACGAAAGATTTCAATTTTTGATTTGTAATAAAATTGAAAGAAAATCCATTGCCTTTGCCATTATGAGTTATTGAATGTAGATACTGTAGAAATTAAACTATTTTCCATTTAAATTTGATTCTGCAAAACAATAAAGGGTGCAAAAAGTAGAGGGGTCTGAGTATTGTGGTATCTGTGGTGACTAGTAATGGTCGGGCTGTTGATCAGCTAGGCTCTAATATAAAGTGTGTTTTATATCTGGCAATGATTTGCTAAAGTAGAACCATTTGTACCTCATTTCTCTGTTCTGTGAACAGACAGAGCAGACTAACGAGCCAAATGTCCAAATGTTCTTGTGCTCTCAAAAAGCTTTAATGTTGCTCTCCAGTTTTTCAAACCTCATATTTATTATTTTAAATGTGTCTGCAGCTTGTATCTGCCGGTAGAGACGAGCAGAGTGTGTCCAGGGTGCAGCAACAGCTTTAAAACTAAGGTCAAGCTGTGTTGTAGTAAAAAACTAAAGAACCAAACAAAGGAGAAACAACACAAATCATCAGTTTCAAGACAAGACGATATGATGCAAAAACCTGTTCCCCTGAATATAAGATGCCCTAAGGTAAGTCTTTAAATTTATGCTGCAAACTGTTCTCATTGTTCAGAACAGCAGCTTGTTTCACTGAACAGCTGGCTGCTGTGTGAAAGTCGCCCTCTAGTGGAGACTGCAGGTTTAACCACCGAGCTCGTTACTGTACAACAGTCTGAGCCCACCGTTATGTTTGTTGTTTAATGAGCGTACAGATTTGTTTCTCAGTCTCTTTATAAGACAAAAGGAAAAAAAAGAAAATACAGGAAATATGTGCACAGTATTAAAGATGATGCAGTTCTCTCAGACTCAGGTCTGGACTGTGTGGAGGTCTGTCCATCACCGCCAGTGTTTCTTTCTCCAGATATGATGCATCAGCAGTGTGCCTGGAATCACTGTCATGCTGAAATATAAACCTGTTTCCAATCGTATGCTTTCCCGATGGAATGATGAAGTAAACTGTGTCTGTGCTTTTCAGCATTCATGATTTCATCAATTTAAACGATGTCCTCGACACTGCTGGCAAGCATGCAGCTCCAAACCAGGACACAGCCTCCACCATGCTTCACTGAAGGATGCCAGCACTCTGTCTTGTACCTCTCTCAAACTTTCACTCTCAAGTAATGTTGACATTTTCACCTGAACATTTCAAACTTTAAACACTACTTTGTTTGTTGGTTTGTTGGTTTGGAATTTGACACTGATCTCAATGATGCAAAATTGTGATTTTATGCCAGTTAAATTGTGGAATTGTTGGTTTAAATGGGCCTCGATAGAGCATTCAGATATACGGATCACATCTGCAACAACTTTCATTTGGTGGAATTATGATAACATGAACAGCATTACATGTATAACAATAACATAGTGTGGACCACATCTTTCTGGCAAAATGGAACAAGGATATACATGACATGTTCATGACTTACATGAGTGAGCAAAGCCAGTGCAGCATAAAGATGACATGGATCTACAAGAGCTGAACACGGTGATGAGCGTGTTGTTCTGCCAAACGCCTGACAAACTGATTTAGAGCCAAAGCTTCGCTGTAGCTGTTGCAGTTTTACTGCTGTATTTACATTCTCATAGCTTAATCGTAGAAACTTAATAATAACAAGAATAACCATGACCTGGAGGACTGAGGATCTTCACAGACATATAGTTGCATTGGTAGCTTGAATGTGTGAGTGAATGTGGGATTTCTTTTGACTTACAAAAACACACAAAAAATACAAAATCCAATTACAAAAAATGTATTATGTATTCCAATAAAAACCACAAACGTGCTTATGGAAGCATTTTGAAGGTTGAAGATGTCACCATAGGTGGCAGATATGAACATGAGAAGTTCAACAACAAGACACAAAGCAGGTGTGGCTTTCTTTCGGTTTCTATCTGTGCCACTCCTGAAAATAGTTTTGGTTGGTCTGTCGACATGAAACAAAACCTGGAAGAGAGTTTAAAGTCTGCACTTCAGAGGAAAGTGAAAGACATCGGAGATGTCATCTGACTGTGTACAGGTGTGTTACCGTGTGGTCTCACCCAGTCCACCTGCTGTCTGACCGTCACGTCTTGCTGCGCCGCGCCTGGCATCCACCTGAGCGAGGTCGACTATGAGCAGCCTCATCTGATGTCACCTAATATCTATCTGTAGTCGAACCGGTATGTCTTCATGGTGCATTTGCAAGCAATCGGATATCCGAGTTCCACTCGTTATTCGCCGTATCTGGACTTTCGCTCTTTCCAGCCGGCCACAAACTTTCATATACATGTTTTTGAATTAAATCGTTCAGAACTGGGGTGGCAGCCGGGGGGGCAAGGCATCTTCTCGGGGTGGCAGATGCCACCCTATGCCACCCCAGTAGATCCGTCCCTGTTGCACCATTACCTTGCAGCAAGAAGGTCGCTGGTTCGTGTCTCGGTGAGGACAGTCGGGATGCTTCTGCGTGGAGTTTGCATTTTCTCCCCGTACAGCGTGGGTTCTCTCCGGGTTCTCCGGCTTCCTCCCACACAGTCCAAAAACATGTTGAGGTTAATGGGTGATTCTAAATTGTCCGTAGGTGTGAATGTGAGTGTGCTTGGTTGTCTGTCTCTAAGTGT